CGAGTCAAAGGGTGCACCGGCTGGGACGACCGCGAGCGCGATTGCATCCAGCGATCTCTTCTGCTTCTTTCTTTCTTTCTTTCTCTCTCTCTCTCTCCCTCTTTCTCTCGCTTCTCTCTCTTTCTCTCACTCTCTCTCTTTCTTTCTCTCGTTCGCTCGCTGATTCGCTTCCTCGCGGTGGAACTCGGTTGCTTCGCAGTTCGCACAACCGGGTTGTCTCACGCACGGCGTCCGCGATTTCGCGCTCTCTCTCTCTCTCTACTACTCTACCGCGATTCCCGCTGTTCCTCCGCGCGCGCGCGCGTGCGTTCGCCCGACGTGGCCGTAGTCTCGTCGAGCGCGAACCAAGAGTGAGCAGACCGAGCCTGACCGCGCACCAAATGTCCCCGGCCCGCTCGGAAGTCTTTGACGGAGCAATTTGCTGTTACGTATCTCACTTACGGCACGACGGCCACCACGAATAACCGAAGTATCCGAAGGGATTCCTCGGCTTCGAGCAACAACTACGTGACGTGCACTGACCTCCCGTGTTCACTCGCAGGCGCGCCAACCCGCGCTCTTCAATGAATGTCACCAGGTCTTCCCAAGCAGACTTCGGAAAATCTGTCGTACGTGGTGAGAATCGTCACCCTTCATTACGTACCTCCAGCTATTCTTTTTAAAACTTGACTTATAACCTTGTCTCGTTTTAAATGCGAAAAAATAATATTTATTTCAAGAACAAAACACACATGGAGCATCTGATCTATAGCATGAAGTTAGCTGCAGTGATAAAGAGCAGTCTTCGGATATATCCTTCTCTTTCCTTTTAAGACGGTGTCATATATTATCTCTCTCGTTGTGATATAATATATCATATTTAAATATTTAACCATCATAATTTTGTATTGTATTGGTATAATAGTCGTACGTCTATTTCTACCAAGGTTAACTTTAGTTTTGATTTAACCCACTTTATTTTTTGCCAATTGCCGGTATTTATAATCCCGTTCTTATTTTAAGATTGTCTTAAGTAATGTCTTAAAATGCTAATAGGTATATAGCACTGTAATTGGATTATAACATCTTATTAAGATTGTAGATGAATAAGAACGGATTATGAATTAGAATGATCTAAGAATTAGAATAATATAAAGAGTAAATTAAACTGAGATTAAAGTTGATCTATGTTGATAGAAATAATCAATAATCTTATAGATAAATCCTAAACGTAGATAACGGAAAAAAGAATTTATAAATCTTTAGAAATTGTAAAATTTAAATTTCGATTTGTGCTATTTTTCTTCGCGATTATATTCTTCCGTCGTCTATTTTTAAGAAATAAAATTCGTGCATTTGTAATCTCAGACATTAGTTTTAAAAATTTTCAAAATTGCAATTCTTGGAATTTTATTTATAATTAATTAATGTTCTCTTTTATCTAATCACGCTTAGCAATTTATTGATTTTTTAAAGTACAGATTTTTCACTTTTTTAAAGTTCTAGGAAATTTTAAAATTTTGGTTGGTACTACTTTTAACCTCTAATTACATTTCTATACTTATTTTTGAGAAAATTTAGCAGCTTTAAATTATTGGAAAACTTCTCGTTATCGACAATTACCAACGATTATAGCACAATTGATCACATGTATTTTAATTAACAATTTTTTATCAAATGTGTTGTGATCACACCTAATTCCATATGTTAAAATGGAAAAAAGAAAATATGAATAATTATCAACAAAACGAGAAATTTTCCAATAATCTAAACCACCTAAACTTAAAAATAAATGAGAGCGTAATTAGAATTAAAGATAGTACCAACAAAAATATCAAAATTTTCTCAATTTAATTTTTTAAAGGAAACTATAAGAGTCTTTTGTTCTAATAATGTAACAAAAAAAATGTTTCACAAAATATATTAATACACACTTTTAGTACAATTTCGAAAGCAATTATCTGTAAGTAATCTAAATGACAAAAGATATATGAAGTACAAAAATAAAGTTAAATATAATTTGTCACAAGGAAGGTTTTCATGCTGACGATGCTGACTTATAGTGTCTCATAAGTACAGATTACTCCTAATTACATAATTTTATACAATGTACATTTGTAACGTTATAAAATTTTGGTAATATATAATAACTTTATTAATCTCATTATAGTCACAATATTAGATAAGATTACAATTCTAACTGCTATGGCCACAGAAAATAACTATTTAGGAATAAATCGTACTACTTGAATTAATGTAACAACGAATATCATTTTGATATATCGCGAAAAAAAATAAATCGTTTCTAGGACTGTCATCATAATACTGAAAAATAAAATTGAGATATATTCAATGAGATATTCATTTGATCAATTTAGTATACATGCGATGACTATTGTCTGGTATATTCATCATATGAAAATTAACCCAGTTTATTAATTCCCCGAATATTTTATATACATTAACGATAACATATTGTCAAATCTAATAGAGTACACACATATTCTTTAAAGTTAAGCGAGATTTACTTTTAATACGATAAGACAATCCGATCATTATACTTTTCATCTGTCTTCCCAATTATATGATATAGAAACACTCACACGCGTATGCTATATCGTGTTTGCATTGTCGTTTATCTCCGATGGTCGATCATACGAGACTGTGATAAAAAGTCTTTGGTTATACTTTCTTACAGCAAAAATGACTCAATGCTGGTTTATCATTTTTTGTTTTAAGGAAATAAATATCTCTGGCATTTTTCTTTTTTATTCCTTTCTTCTTTTCAATTTGCTTCAATTTCTGGTTAGCCAGGAGAAAGCTTTTAAAATGAAATATGCTACGGTCGCGATATACAGAAGCTTGTCTCTTTGCTGGCGATGTAGCATGTCTAATTCGAGTGCCATCACTCTGCGGTTTAATTTACCTACTTGACGACGTAAGTGCTGAACTTCCTCAGTGGGCGGCAGAGACACGTCGAGAGCATTAAAGGGTGTTTGTTCTCTGTATAAAAGTAAAACAAATAAGAAATAAAGTATTCTGCAAAAAATTCTATTCTAGTAATGTTAAGAATTCTGTACCTGACATGTCTTGTTATCTGCGTTTCTGCATTATATGTTTTAGGTACATCCACTGGTTTCGCAACTTCATTGTGATTTATAGGAGGGTCATCTTCATCCACTGCTGGGAAGTAGTGATTGTCCAGAGTCAAGATTCTCGGAGGTGTCTGTCGATAACGATAAATATTTGATGACAAATTGTGTGTGTGTGTGTCAATTCATAATTTTTTAAATATATTACCTGTACTCTGACTATAGCAGGCTCAGTGCGCATTACAGCATTTTCTAAAACGATCTCTGGCGGTGGTGCCTTGGTACCAACATGTTGCTCTTGTCCTGCAATGAATAATTTATACAAGCTTAGTACAAAAGAATAAGCAAAGTAAAATATTTCTGTCACAAAATATTTCAGTCATTCAAAATAAAATCTCACCAACAACAAGAATCCTGTCTGGCACATTCATTTCAAGTTTGTCCATACCAGGTATTTGATTCCACGTAGCTCTATTTGTGATAGCAATGTCTTCGTTTGGATAATCTCCGTTTACACGAATGCTCTTGGGAACTCGCATCCGCGTGTTGATATCAGCAGGAAAGTTTGGATCATAAAAGTTGTCTGTTTCTCCATTAAAATGTGTTGGACTGTGCGTCTTTGACATTATAACTGAAACTGCATTTTTATTATAATGGCGATCGCCATATAAACTCAAGTATATTATCTACAAAATATAAAAACTTTATGATCGGTGCTTAGGCTGGTATTTATAGTCAATATTCTTATATTTAAGACCATCTTATTTAATATGATCTTAAAATATCATAAGTCAATTACAGAACCTATTAGCTTCTTAAGACATTACTAAAGACAATCTCAAAGAAAGAATTGACTGTGAAAATACCAGCCTGTGTTTTGATACACTCATTTTGATACATTGATACAAAAACCTTTATATATCAGAAAAACTGTATAAAATGAATGTGTTTTTGAAACATTTTATAAGTTATTATAATGTACAAACAGTGAATCCTAATATGTAATAACAATAAGGAAGTCAGTTTTGGTCTATTCTTTGTAGCTGAACTACTCTTAAAATAAAATAGATAATATTTAGGGTTTAAAATAGAGTTAAAAAGGCATATATTAAAATATATATAATCTTTAATCCTATTTTTTGTTGCTGTACTGAATTGCGCTAATAGCGTTTTCTGCCAAAAAAAACTAGTGCAACACTTGTGCACATTGAGTGCAACTGAACACAAATTAACTCACACATTTTCAGTGTTAATAAATAATTTAATCCTTTTAATTGCATGTTCTTTGTTGTTACAATAATCTTAAAAGGATTAAATTGTATTAAATTGTGTGTATCAGTATTGCATTAATTGTTCCAGTAGAAAATGTTATAAAACTTTGGCTGTTTAACATTTGGTAAACAAGGTTAAAATCATACATCATGCGATTTATGGAGAGTGCAGCTTTTAAATTTCAAATATATACCTACTTCTATTTTAAGTATAATGAATGTATACTAGTTCAGCTACAGATTCTTTTCTCAAGTTGCAAAGTAACAGTATTCTTTTTAAACTGGTTAATTAAGTGCACAATGGAATATTTCTTTGTCAACAATATATATTTCACACAAGCACAATCGTCGAGACACAAAGGTCAGCGTATAATCTTTCTCTTTGTTTTTTTATCACTCACTCATCCATGGCAAACATTAGATATACGGCTAGAAGTCATTACCGAGGCTCGGGTTGCTCCGAAATCATCCGGGATTACATTATCATCCGCGAAGCGATCATAAATAAATGCAGATTGTTAGCAACCAACCAACGTTGTTATGCGAGCATTTCACCGTAAAGAAAAGGATATTTACCCTCTTGCAACTCGTGGTTCGTCAGATTAGTTAGATATAAAATCTCCTCTCTCTGAAGTCGTTATAAATTTGACGGGTTAAAATTCGAGCATAGGTTATGTAGTCATGAAGGATGATGTGCTACGTTGAGTGGTCACAAGTGGTGCACTCTAGAAACCCTCAAGGGAGAGTCTGGCAAACGTTCGACATTAAAGTCACTAGATTTCTAAAGTACCGCAAACTCGTATCCATTTTCACGCAAAACGCGGTCATTTCGAATTTATGCATTTGTATTACGTACTTTATTTGGGAAAATGAAGCCGTCAAGTATGTAAATCAATGTTTTTTGGTTATAATTAATTTATTTATGAACAAAAGAATATGTACGAATGCTCGATTTATGTGTTCTTTAGTTTAATACGGATTTATTCGTAGAAGTTTTGTGCATAAAGTGCACGAAGGATACGTGTAAA